ACCCCCCCCCCCCCCACATCAACCACAATGCCCCACGGGACGAAATCAAAGGGGTTTACCCACCTCCACTACAGGTTGAAGCCAATCAAAGAAGCCCAGAGAGATTGTTCTGATGTGGAGGTACAGGCTATCTCAAGACTGATGTAATCTAACAAAAGGTCTTTATACTGTTTAATACTAAGAGTATTTTTATTTTTCCAATTTATGAGTATAGTTGTTTTTGCTATACATAAAGCAGTAAAAATCATGTGAATTGACTTTGTCTCCAAGGTGACATCATCTAAGTGACCCAATAAGCAAACTGACGGAGAGAGTGGAATATTACATCTCAGACACTTTGATAAGTCTTCACATATCCGGCACCAAAACCTCTGAACAGGTGGACAGAACCAAAATGCGTGGATGTGATTGTCAGGATATTGTTTGTACACTGTGAGCAAACATTAGATGATGCGAAACCCATCCTGAACATCCATTGACCTGTGTAGTGTACTCTATGAAGGATTTTGTATTGTATTAATTGTAAATTGGGGTTTTTAATCATTTTAAAAGTTCTTAGTCAACTTTGACCAAAACTTCTGGTCTCAGATATGTCTGACAAGTCTGTCTCCCATTTTACAATGGGAAGGTATATTGATTCATCTATTTTAATTAGCCCGATTTTTAACTGGTACAGGCTATAGAGAGCACATCACGCCAGTTTGGGCCTCGCTGCACTGGCTACCCATTCACCTTCGGATCCATTTCAAAATTCTCATGTATGTTTTTAAATCACTGAACAGTTCCGCCCCATCCTATCTCACTGATCTTCTGCAGCCATATGTCCCATCGCGCTCTCTGAGGTCAGCAGACCAGCTGCTTCTCTCAGTCCCAGAAACCCGTCGTAAGCTCAGAGGTGACAGGGCTTTCTCTGTTGCAGGTCCACGACTGTGGAATGAGTTGCCACTGAGTGTCCGGCAGGCTCCCACACTCTCAGTCTTTAAGTCTCGCTTGAAGACCCACTTCTATTCGCTTGCCTTTAACACGGTGTGATTTATTTTAGTCCGGTCTGTTCTCTACTCTGTTGGCCATTTTAGTTAGAAATACAGATACAAATAGCAGCAGAAGCTATTTTATGTTTTCCTGTCCGCTGTGCATGTTTGTTTTCTTTTGTACAACACTTTGGTTGGCCTTGTTGCTGTTTTAAGTGCTATATAAATAAATTGGTATGGTATGGTAGTATTATTGATAGTTTTAACAAGAGGAATAACACAACAGGTCTATCGTGAATTGTGTGTTTTCAACTGCCCTGATGACTCCGGAACCACAAAGAGTTTACACATCTCTCCTGTCTGGCCCTGAACCTGATGAAGATTTTAATGGTCTTGATCAAGATGAAAATATGCAACTTCAACTCAGTGTTTTTGACGCAAATGTTTTAACCTGTAAAGTGAACAAATGCTGATTTCTTTTAATCTGGGTTGTGTCTTATTTTATATTTTTCTGTATAATCATGTTTTTAAAATGTGATGATTTTATAATCAAGGGAGGATTGTGACAGAAAATTAGATCTCATAGTGTAAGCACTAATATACTTTGTATTTAATGAATATTATGCATCTTATTCACTGGTTTAAACTCATGTAATCCTTTCCCCTTGCATGCAAAACGAAGATATTCTTTTGATTAATGACAGAACTTATCCAGCTAACAAGTTCATGTCCTTCCACAGGCATGGGGAGCGAAGGACATTTTGGCCTTATCTGTTTTCTTGTAATAACTGTTCTCAATTTGACTTGAAGATGACAAACACTTTCTGCTTAGCTCATAAGAATGTATAAAAAGGACATCACACTTGGTTATCTTTGCTCTTTTGCCTAACGAGCTGAGTTTCTCGAACATACTTTTCTGCCTTCGAATAATAAAAAACTTGGATAAGGATCGATCTTGTATTCATTGAGTTTACAAGTTTATTTCTCACTCTTTTAGAAATCCACCACACATTTGTAGACTTTATACCCCATGTACTTTGTAATATTTTAATGTTTGACTAAAAGTAGTTTATGTACTGTCATGATGTAGTCCTTCCACATTATCAGAGCTTCGTGTCTCTGCAGCAGTGTAGCCATCGTTTCCTTTGAGGTTGGAGGATTATCTTGAAGTTAATCCTGACAACATGTCATCCTTTGAAGAACTGTACCTGCACTATCGTGGACTTCCACTTCCCAGAGGAACTTTCTCAGAGGATTTCAAGTATTTTGAAGAATTCAACTTTAAAGATGATGACATTTTGGTTGTCACATACCCAAAGTCAGGTCAGTTTTGTTGTCAGACTGCAATTTTGTTTCTCATGGTGAACTTGGTGAAAATGACTGAGATACCCAAAAGTACCAGGACCAAAAATGCAAAGCAGTCTTTGATTGGCTTCATTAGTTCATCAAACATCAGAAGTCTGTTCAGAATTACAGCCCTAAAAGTCCTAAAAGTAGTAGTCCTAAAGTTCGGTGCACAAGTACATAAAGTGCAATAGTTTTTTTTCTTCAATTTTTAAGAATCCATAAAGATTAAAAAGGTGATTAATATTAAAAGTAATGTTTTCTTACATTGTGTATTGTAAATGTTTTATAGGGACTTAGCGAATCAGATCAACTCATGTGTTTTTTGGGCCACAGCTCATGTTTGAACATTGTATGGCGTTATGGGCGTGGGGGGGATCTGTAAAAACCGATAGTATTTACATTACGAGAAGATTTTTGTGGCAGTTCATTGAAACAGTGTTAGCACAGTTGTCTCACAGCAACAAGGTTGTTGATTCACCACTGACCTTTCAGTGTGGAGTTTGAGTGTTCTTTTCTCCGGGTACTCTGGTTTCTTCCGACAGACCAAAACCCTGCATGTTGGAATAACTGGCAACTTTAAATGGCCCCTAAGTGTGAGTGAGAGCATGAATTGTTGTTTTGTTTTATTGGTCTCTGGTCGGCCCTGAGGATTAAATTGCAACCTTTCCAGGGTGTATCTCACCTCACACATCGACTGCTGGAGATTGATACCATCTGCCTCCAGTCCAGAAAGAAAGGAAAAAAGGGGGTAACTGAAGAGAAGTTGATTATAAGATTTGTTTTACTGATAATGTTGACATGTAGGACTATGTAAATAACATTTCAAGAAAACAAATGGGAAATGGACTGTACTTATTTAGCACTTTTCTATCTTATTTCAAGATACTCAAAGCGCTTTACACTACAATCTGTGTCCTCGTTTACCCATTCATACAGCACTCTACTAGCAATGAGGTGTTCAGTGTCTTGCCCAGGGACACTTCATGTGACTGCTGGTGGATTCGAACCCCCAACTCTCGCATTGGAGGACGACTGTTCTAACCACTCAGCCACAGCCGCCCATAAAAGCCTAGTGATCCTTAAAGGATTGCCTTTCCACCACCTTTCATGGCAGAGTTTTAGATGAAGATCATTATTTGTTGAGAATTGATGTAGCCATTTTAGTCCCTGAACTAAACAGTTTCATGTAACGTTATGCGCTTCATGTAATGTCATGTGCTCCAAGTACGTATTGTTAATGAATTTCAGCTACTGCCACATCAAATTTTAGCCCAATATCTACATCAATATATTTTGCATTTTTAAGCTCATTTGGTTGTTGGCATCCATCTAGAATAAGATGTAATCAGTGGATACTCATCCTCAACTTTTTGATTCAATTTTAAGCTTGATTAAAACTCCTTCAGTGGTTTGATATTTTGATAATAGACAACATTTACATGCACAGGTAAATGATGGTCCGCTTTTGCAAGAGCCTGTATTTTTCTTTGCCAGCCCAAGAACATTGCACTATATCTTCCACAGAACACAAGTTGTATTGAAAACATTTGTGAACTGTTAAGTGGCAGAAATGGTCACGTTATGTCATTCTTTTGTAGGAAATATGACAAGTATAAAAACCCTTCACTTAGTTTTTAAAGAAAATATCCATCCATCCATCCATTATCTTTACCTGTTTATTCCATTTTGGGTCACGGGGGTTGCTGGTGCCCATGTCCAGCAATCACTGTGCGAGGGGCGGGGTACACCCTGGATGTGTTGCAAGTCCATCACAGGGCCACATAGAGACAAACAAGACAAACAACCATTCACTCTCTCACTCACACCTAGAGACAATTTAGAGTTACCAATCAGCCTAACATGCATGTTTTTGGTCTGTGGGAGGAAACTGGAGCACCCGGAGAAAACCCACGCATGTACGGAGAGAACATGCAAACTCCACCCAGAAAGGCCCCTGGACCGGGGTTTGAACCAGGGACCTGCTCGCTGAGAGGCAGCAGCTCTACCAGTTGCGCCACCGTGCTGCCCTAAAGAAAATATCCTGAGCTCAAATATAACGGGGGTTTGAGATTGGTTGTTTGCACTCTGAAGTCATTAGCATCTTAATAACCAACGAAACAAATAGTATATTTGTCTGAAACACTAATCTCTGATTAGAAGCTTTATTTAATTTATGTTGCATCATTGCTCGGTCGGTATGCTTTCTTGATATTTTTACTCTTGTTGGCTGCCTTATTAATTTTTGCAGGTACAACCTGGATGAAAGAGATCCTCACGCTGGTGCTGAATAGTGGAGATCTGACCCTGTTCCAAACCATTCCATGCTGGCTTCGAGTCCCACATATAGAAATGAAAGCTATGGCCAAACACATGGAACAGTTGGCATCTCCACGTTCACTGTCCACACATTTCCTCTACAACATGATGCCGTCTTCCTTGCACACTTCCAAGGCCAAGGTAATAGTTTATAAATATAATTTTAAGTTTGTTGCATGAAGCTGTACTCCTCTAACTATGACCCCTGACCCTTGGGTGTCTTCCAGACCCACCATGAATTGAATTGTTTTCTTTAAAGTTACATTTGACCTCAATAATGTCTGATGTTTTTTTACATGTTCACTTGTACTTGAACACAGAGTCAGCTAAAGTCTGACTAATGTTAACCTTTATTTTTCCTAAGTTTCTAAGTAAGAAAAATAAATCATTGATGAAGTTTAAGTGTGAACATGAATAATTTTGATTATTGCTTTCAGTCATTATGATGAGTTCAGAATCAGAATAAACTTTATTGGCATTGCACCGAGATACAACGCGAATATGTACATACAATCGTCCGAAGATGGACGGAGTGCACGAAGCTGCGGCTAAAATAATCAGCGCGGCCTTCTTATTCTTATTCAGAATAATATTTTGCTTAGATAAGAAAAGGAAAGAACACATGAGGAGAGACGGTATATAAAAAAAAAAGATCTCACACCGTGTCCTAGACAGGGCACAATTTGAGGCATCAAAAAAAACCTACCACAGCAAAGCAACATAAACAGACGTTATACATTTACATATAGGCGGTGAAAACATTGAATTTTTAAGGGGAAGTCGTAGCATAGTCCAGAGCCACCAGCAGATCATTCATCTTCTGGGGGTCTTGTTATGCCATATTAGCTGATACAACTTGGTAAATCATTTCCTGGCTTGCAGTGAGAATAAATGTCCTCTTATCACACTAAATAACTTCTTTTACCCAAAATCCAAAGCAAACTATTCATTCAAATAGTTAAACTGTGTAAGTTTGTGCACGTATAAAATCAAAATTCCTGCTCATTAATTAGTTAATTTTGCCTTAGATAAGAGAAATATGCCTTGATTGATTCATTATTATTATAGTTTGTTTATTGTTGTTGTTGTTGATTCTTAGCTTGATTATTTTTGTAATAAAATTTCAAAGACAACTTTGGTCTCTTCATTCGGATGAATATTCATTTGTTCCGATATAGATTTCCCTGTAATTAACGGATTCTACTTCAGTGACTAAGTCTGATTTTTAAAGGATGAATATATTACTTAAATTGTTGTTGGTCAGTAAACTGACCAGCTGGTGCCCCGCTTTAACGAGTACTAAATAAGTATACACAAATGTATTTGAGGGGAGTGGAGAAAGTGTCACCCTTCTTCCTCCATCTCATCTTCTTAATTGCTACAAGTTTGTAATATCTGTGTGGACTTGTAATATGGCACATTTTAAGCTTTTGCATTGAATTCCTTGTAGGTGATCTATGTCATGAGAAACCCAAAGGACATCTTAGTGTCTTCATACTACTTCCACCAGATGGCCAATTTCCTAGAAGACCCAGGAACTCTTGATGAGTTCATGGATAAATTTCTTAAAGGCAGAGGTCTGAGATCACATAATGTTATATTGTTTAAAAAGGTTTTGTTAATAAATAGACATAAGAAAAAAATGCTTATTACTAGTAAAAAAAAACAAAAAAACAAATTGAGATGGTAAAAAATACATTTCTTTGAACTCTATACAATTAATTTTAAAATAAAGAAATTTGTTTATTTGACTTGTCTGCAGTATTTTATGGAAAATGGACAGACCATGTTAAAAGCTGGAAATGTGCAGAGCTGGGAGACAGAATAATGTTCATCACATATGAAGAAATGATTCAAGTAAGCGCCTCCTTTAATATATGTAAACATGGTAATGTATTTGTTATGTTAAACTTAGAAAATGAATCTAGAAATAAAACCACATTACTTTTGAAAACAAAAGCAGGTAAGGCAAAGCAGAAGACATGATGAGTTTCATGGTAGGCTGGACACTAAAAAGTCAGAGTTTCTTTATTGTCATTCGCACCTCATGTGGTACATGTGGTGGAGCGAAATTATGTACACAGGGTCCCAGTTACATCCAACAATAAAATGTAAGAGAAACAGTAATAACATCTAAGATATGAACTAAGAAAAACATCAACTAAATATACACTAAGCACTCATAACATAACATTGAACATCAGCACAAACATGAACATGAGTCTGAACAGATGTGCACGCATGAACACATCAACATGGAAACAGATCAGCAGCAACATGAAACAGATCAGCAGCAACATGATATGGTTTTTCCACAGTGATTATTCTAGTTAGAGATTCATGAGTCTAACAGCCTCAGGGTAGAAGCTGTTCCTCAGTCTAGTGGTTCTACACTTAATGCTCCTTAACCTCCTTCCTGAGGGGAGTGGGGCAAAAAGCGCAGTGTGGACCACAGAGGAGATTGCATCCTCTGTTGATCGGTTCTCAAAAGGGCGAGGAGGACTTGAACTGATTGGTGAGACAGAGGGATCAGGCTGGAAAGGATGTGCAGCAAGTTAGGCTTGTTAAAGATAGGAATGGTAATGTTCTAACAAGTGAGGAGACCATGACAGGAAGATTAAAGGAGTAGTTTGAGGAGCTAATGAATTAAGATAATGAAAGGGAAAGAAGAGTAGAGGTCATAGAAACTGTGTACAAGAGAGTGGGAAAGATTAGTGAGGGTGAATTTCAGAAAGTTCTGAAAAGAATGAAGGAGATGCCAATATGACCTGATGACATACCAACGGAGGTTTGGAAATGTCTTGGAGAGATGGCAATGAGGTTTTTGACTCAAATATTCAATGGCATATTTGAGGGTGACAAAATGCCTGAGGAACAGAGGAAAAAAGTGTGCTTGTGCCCTTTGTTAAGAACAAAGGTGATGTACAGAGTTATAGCAACTACAGGGGAAATGAGTTGATCAGCCACACAAGATCTGGGAGAGAGTTGTGGAAGCTAGATTTTGACGAGGTGACAATCTGTGGCCAGCACTATGGTTTCATGCTGAGAATAAGCACCACATGTGAGATGCTGGTGAAGATTCTCAGTCATCCAGGACATGATGAATTCAAAAAGCGTTCAATACAAAAACAACTGGACTTTATTTTTGTAACAGAAGACGTTTCGCTCCTCATCCGAGGAGCTTTCTCAATTCAAAGAGCAGAGAGTGAGAGATTCAGGTTATAAGGCTGAGTGAGATAAGACACACACACACACACACACATATGTGTAGATGTGTATGTGTATACACATATGTGTAGATATGTATGTGTGAATTGCCAATCTACATGTGTGTGTGTGTGTGTGTGTGTGTGTGTGTGTGTGTGTGTGTGTGTGT